CACAAGTCCAGGTAGATGATGTCAGTCGCTCTTCCCATATCTATGAGAGCTGTAACTCATGTTACAGCTGTCACTACATTATTTTTCATGTGCCTTAGTACAGATGCCAGGAGGATCTGCTCCATGATTTTACCTGACATAGAGGTGAGGCTGACTAGTCTGTAGTTCTCTGGGTTTTGTTTGCTTCCTTTTTTTGAAAATGGAGGTTATGTTTCCCCTTTCCCAGTCTGTGGGAACTTTGCCAGACTGCCACAAGTTCTCACATATGATGGGTAGTGGCCTAGTAACTTCAGCCACCATCTCCTTCAGTACCTGTGAATGTATCTGTGCACCTTCAGTTTCTCTAAGTGTTCTTGGACCTCATCTGCTCCTATCCTGTGATATGAGGCCAGTAAGTAAAAGAAGAGAAGCAGCCAAATTTTTTATATTGTAAAAAATCCTTTCTAAGGTCTTTTTGACCCAGCTGAACCTTGTACATTGTAATCAAGTTCTTAACAAATTCTTCCCAAAACTTTTTGGCCCATGCACTGACTTTAATAAGATTCCCTTTAACCCATGTACTAACCCTAATCAGTAGCATGTCTTTTAAAGCAGAATTTTTAGGTTACACTTAACTCAAGGCTGTAACAAACTGCTTGTGTAGACATTTACATACTAAGCATGTGCCAAAAGCCACTAATGGAAAAAGTTCATCTAAAGGACAAGTGATGAAGACTACGGAACGACCCCCGGAGGAATAATGGACCACTGGAGTGAGGGCAGTAATAACTTCAGGATGGTGGGTGGCGACAGAGACTGAGAAATCACAGGCTCCTGCAGAGGTGGAGGTGTTCCAGTGACTCTGGGGGGAGGGGGTTGAGCTTTCTGGGACCTGTCCTGAATAGGCGTGTGCCACTTGCCGAGACGTTTCGGGCTCCAGAGGCAGAGCGATCCCCTGGCCGCCCGGCGCTGCGATGGAGAATACCTGCTGATAGCGGCAGGTACTGCCTGTTGCCTTGATTTCCTCGTTTCATCGGGGTGGTTCTTCCCTCTCCCAGACCCAGCCAATGCCCTCCGTGACTTGGGTGGTGTGGCTCAGGTGGTCACCAGTGAAGACTGAAGCAGAAAAGTAATGGAGTACTTCAGCCTTGCCCTTATCCTCGGTAGCCACGTCGCCCATTATCCCTCCGGAGAGGCCCCACATCCTCTTTTGTTTTTCTTTTTTCCCCAACATACCTGTAGAATCCCTTTTTTTTAGTTGTTTTAATGTCCCTGGCCAGAAATGTTTCTATCTAGGCTTTAGCTTTCCTAACCTGGTTTCTGGTTTCACAAACAATCTCCTTGTAATCATGCCAGGCTTTTTGCCAGAACAGCAAGACAACTTGTCCTTGCTTCCACCCTTTTTTGGATTTCTTTTTTGTGTTTGATTTTCTTCAGGAGTTCCTTGTTCATCCATACAGGTCTTTTGGCATTTTTGCCTGATTTCTTCTTTTTTAAGGATAAAGCAGCATTCTGCAGGAAACAGGTTTTTTCCTGTTTCTTTTCTTCTTATTTACCGAGCAAGTATATTGGGAATTACTGGTTTAGAACACCTTAGTCTGTTCTGCATTGTGGCAGTTCTGTTTCAGGAAGTTCTGAAAAGAAAGACACATCAATGTTGTTCTGTGCACTTTGGTGCTTATTGTGTAGCACTACAATTTTCAGATTCTTTGGCCATGAAAATGAGGCAGAGGCAAGAATTCTGTGGTATTTTTAATATGTGCTCTCTTGTAACATTGAGAGGTTTGTCAACAATACAGGAAAATCAAGCAGTGCAGACTATTGAGGTCCTCTTCATGTTGTGTGTTTTGTTTGCTATTGTTCTATTGTTGCAAGAGTCTGTTTATTAAAGGCTGAGTTTCTAAGGGGAAGAAAACCTTCCCAAGAAGAGGATACTCTTGGTCTTGTTGTGCCTGATAAAAAAGAGGAAAGGATGGTCTGCCACAAAAATAACAGTAGCACCAAGACTTCGTGATGACAGTGATCCCAAACTGGCAGCTGCTGCCTCTGTGCCTTCTTCATTGACTTCCAGATAACACTTGTGAAAAACCTGGGACAAAAACAGATCACCAGTCTCTGACATTCCTGTGAAATCAGCCTGACCTTCAGTGAAAGCATCTTGTATGCCCATCTTGTTCAAAGTATCCTTGAGGTTATATTTCTCTTCTAAAGTGAACCTGGGCAGGTAAACCTCCATTTTCATTTTATCCATTAGTTTTGGGCTGGTCCATGCAGACAAGTTTTCAAAAGTCAGTTCTTTTTCTAGCTGCAGTTAGTAAAAAGAGAATCAGAAAATTACAGAATGTTCAAAAACCTGTGCCCTAAGGCCTATTCTTTTTTCTTAAATGGAGAACTTTTCAAGCTGTTGTAAGAGTATAAGAAGAACTGTAGTGAAAGACCAGTGTAGAGATCTTTTTGACTAAAGGAATATGTTTCTATGTGGTAGGGCAATGTAACACTTAAGCTGTATTCAGTAATTGTCAGGAAACATAACAGGGTTAAATAGTTGTAGAAAAAAACCCATTAATGTCAAGTAAGAACAGCCTGGTTGACTTGCTGTTCTTATTTCTGTTCTCCCTACGTGTTAGAATTTACTGAAAGGAGCCTTTTTTCCTACAGAAGACCCACCAAGGTAAATGAGAATTTTTAAGTGTATTGTCCAAAGACAGGATCTGCTTCTTCACAGAAGGTGGCAGTATCCCTAAGTTTTGGTTCTGGACATACTGGAAAGTGGAAGTAATGAAGGCTGTGCAAATTGTGGCTTGATTTTTTTTTTTTTTAAATGAAACCATATCTAAATAGGTACACACAGTGGATCAGCAGGGCTGGCATTCTGTCCCCGTGTTTGTTCAGCTGGAAGAAAGAGAGCCTTGTGGAGTCTGAGTTGCTTGTTTCCAGGACTGATCAACATTAGGAACCACAGAAGTGCCAGCTGCCAAGAGTAAGAAGTCTGTTCTGGGCTCCAAGAGATTCACGTTCACAGTGCTAGACCAAGTTTGGATTTGCTTTTCCTTGAGCCTAATCAGTACTCTCCTTTCTAGAAACATGACTGCACCCTGGTCTTTTACCTCAAACATGCATAAAGGAAGTAAATTATGACACTCTTATTTTTTTGAGAGGATTTATGTTCTCAGTTGCTTTACCTTTCGTAGGCTGATGATGTCACTTGGTAGCAGGATAAACATGCTGATATCGTTATTCCGGTATGGAAGCTCAAGAACATCAGTCTGGACTGATTCTACATAGGTCCAGTTAAATTTATCACTCAGGTACATCATGGGCACTGGTTTGGTTGTATGCTGCAACAAATCAAATTAAATGTTTGCCATTTGTACTCTGACCAAACAGTAGAAGTTAAAGTAGTGGAGTGGAGGTTTATTGTATGTACTGTGCAAGTTGCCCAGTGTGTCTGAGACATCCTTATGGCTCCAAACTGTGGGACACAGGATGTACAGGGGAACTCTGGTCTTCTGGAAAGGAACTTGGAGGCCAGGCAGTCTATCTAAGCTGTCTCAGATGGCCTCTATGTCGTCCCTTCCTTCAGGGAATGGAAGCTTGTTTCAGGTCAGCTTCTGACAATTTTACTAGTGGCTCAGGTGCTAGTATGTGTGTACAGTCTTTGTGCTGAAGATGGTCAAATATGCTTTAAATGAGATAACTTTCATGCGTCATGGATTTAAAGATTGTCAGGAATTTCTCTCCCCCGCTCTCTTTAATTGTTTTCCACCTGCAGTGTAGTCTATACAGGGCAGTATATTCTCATACCATGTTTATTTTGAAAGGCCTTTGCCTGGTAGCTTCAGCTTCAAACTTTGTTGCCCACTCTCCTTTGAAGTAGAGCGCATTTATCAGGACTAGCCTGGTGAGTGAATCGACAGATCCAGGAGGCAGCAGATTTTGGATTTTACCTACAGAAAACAGAAGGACATTTACAAATTTGTGCAGCTTTACTGTTTCAGTGTAAATATTTTCAGTTACAGTTTCAATGGGTATAAACCAGGGAAATTGTAAGTGCTGGTATAGCATTGCATCTAGCCTGAGATTGTTTGCAAATATGTGGTTACTGGGCTAATTTTGATTTACAAAGACGAGTAAGCCACTTTCCTCCCACTTTCAGAGAGAGGACACTAATGTTAGTAAGGGCTTCTCAGCAGATGACTACTTTAGGAAAACTGATCTGATTTACCTTTCTGAGGTGAACAGTTTACCTGCCTTGAGCCCTTTGGAGACAGAGGCTTTGTTAAATTCTTCTGCACTAATAGGGAGAGGAAAGGCTGGAGCTTACCTTCAGTCTGATGTTTGGCCCTGGAATTGATTTCTCTTCTGATTTCGTCTGCTGCTTCCACAAAGTTAACTGATTGTGGCTCTGCATTGTAATATTTCTTGGCTAACTGTAAGTATTCCTGCAGTGCAAGAAATATACCATTTCTTAAGTTTGTTGCCTGACAATAAAAATGCTAATAAATAACTACAACCAAACAGAGAGAAAGCATAATAAGAATGATGTAGACTATAAGCATACCATTTTATCAAAGGAATAAAGCATATTTTGGCAGAAATAGTCAGTTTAAATTTTCTTACCTTACTAGATCTGCAAATCACTCTGAAATCCCATAAAACTAAAATGTTAGTGTGCAAAGTGTCAATACAAGTCTTGTAGAAAACTTTTATTTTAAGGATAACGATATGATTTGCAGATGAAATGAAAATATTTTAAAGTATATGGTTTATGTTATGTTGTAATAAATAGATCAGAAAGCTTCAATAGCACTGCATAATCTGAATAAATGGCCTACCTACCTTACTGAAAGGCAATGATTTTTCTCCATATAACTCATTGAGACTTTTAAGCAGGTAATGTTTAGATTGTTGGTTGATTTCCAAGTTGAGTGCTTTAAATCCAGCATGTATATTATCTGCTTGGCCCATTTCTGTCTTGGAGAAAAGGAAAAAAAGACGTTATTCATCTGTTATGTAAAATAGTTTTAAATTTCTAATTTTTTTCCTTCACATAGCTCCAAGTAAAATATTTCTTTTCAGATCATCTGTTACCTGTATTGCAACACAAGATGTGTTCTAAATCAGACAGCTATTAAAAGCATAATTTGAAAGTATTAGAAGTTACAGACATGGTACAGATACTGTAAGTGTCTCAGGATGCAGGTGTTACAAGCCTGAACTATGCAAAAGGTTTAAGGGTTTGTAAGTGGAGATTGTGAAACTAAATATATTCAGAGAATGAGAGCCAGACTGTGATTTTTAAACAATGTGTTAAGATTTTTCTGTGTAAGTCCTTTCATTTGTGAAAGTCGTCACAGAACCATAGAATGGCTTAGGTCGGAATGGACCTTAGAAAACATCTAATTCAATCTCTCTGCCATGGGCAGGGATACCTCTCAACTAGACTACATTGCTCAAGGCCTCAAGGCCTCATAAAGTCAAATGTGCTCTGTGGGAAGTTTACCCCTAAATTTCTTAATCTTGCTCATAATATTTGTGTTTTGCGGTTTATTTTTTCTAAATGTTGCAGTAATGCAGTAAAGTTTTTATATATATCCTATATATATAT